ATAGGTACCAAGTGCTGGACATCTATAGGTAGCAACATTCTAGCTGCCTCTCACAAATAAAATATGAAGTTATTTTAAAAAAAAAACAAAATGCAATGTATTTACTAACAAACTAGAAGGAACTGTATGGTTACAGAGAATTCAAACTTCAGGTTAACTCTGGTTCTATGAGTAGTGTTTGATGTTGCAAGAAACTTTTTTGGTACTAAGGTGCTCATTCTCTCTGATCTATATCCCACCAAAAACAAAAAACAAAATAATCCTTCTCCTAAAAATATCATAGGAAATAATAGTGGCTAAAATGCAAGCAAACCAGAAAAAAAGATTCAGAGTCTTTTATCTCGTTACTCCCTGACAATACCAGGCCACAGATGGAAATGTTATTTAGTAGACGACTGAAAGCTATGAATTTCCTCAATTTGTCATACTTATACCTGGGTAAAAATGCCTTCTATATCAAATTGAGCCTTTTTTCTAAAAATATTCAATGTGTTTATTTATGTTTGATTATATACACACACTTATAATCCCACAACGTAATACACTGATAAAAGTATTTTTTATCCATATATCTAATAGTGGCATATTATCTATACATTAATTAAGCTCTTCGGGTTTACCTTGTAATTTAACAAGTTTCCCTTCCTTTTTCTTTTTGCTTTTTCTGTATTAGGTTGGCCTATAAGACATTGGGAATATTCAACTCAATAGAAAATCAGGGGTCTTAGCGATTTATTCAGAGATATTCAGAGATACCATTATTTGTGTGTTGAGGGGGCTCTAATAACAGATTAGGATATATTTGGTTGATTGCCTCATTGATAATCAGTTCTTGAAAAGAAAATGGATATGCTGAAACATGCCTTCTGTGATTCTTTTCCTTTCTGTGAAGTTGTCTGTGATGGGCACCTTCTTGGGCAGGTGTAGGGTTGTACTAAACTTTATAGCTCCAGCACTTTCCCTCTTCAACAGATTCTTGCTTCTGACCGGAGATAATACAAATCTACGTTATCTATAAATCTTCTTAAATGGCAACCAAGAGTGCAGTAGCTCTTCAGGCACACTTGCCGTGTGTGAGAATCTTCCATCCTGTCCCCCTTGGAGACCACAATCTGTGCAAGTCGTTGTATATTTCTCCACATTCCTTAGACAAGTGTATTCTTTATATCTTTATTTAGCGTGACAATTCATCAGGTCAGGTTTTCCAGAAAGCTATTAATGTGAAATAATTTTATGGAAAAATGCTCTCAGGATTAACACCTATAAGGGGAGAAAAAGAAAGGGAGCGGAATCTATAGGGCAGAAGGAGATGCTGGGCTACAATACAGTCACAACCACAATAACAATCAAGCCTCCTCTCCGCTCCCTTCCCAGGAGAATCTCTGAAGTCTGAAGCTAGTGTAGCCTTCAGAATTGTCCTGAGCTGCAGCAAAGGAGCCAGGCTTTTATAGCCCATACATCCCACATGAGCCAATCAGTGGGACCAACCTGCCTCAGTAATGAAGGTGGTGACTTTGGGCTAGGCAGCGCTATTTAACTGATGCCAATTCTCAAATAGGGATGACAGCTGAGGACTGTCAGCTAGCAGCTGGGTCAGAAGTATTTCAGTCCTAAAGAGTGGTCTTGGCAGTTCAGCCCAGCATCTACTATGCTAGTAATTTCCAAAGTTTAGTTCCCAGCAGCAGTAATTCTCAAACTTTAGCATATGTTGGAAATGCCTGGAAGGTTTGCTAAAAAATACACCTTGCTAAACTCCACCCACAGAGTTTCGGATTCCGTTGGTCTAAGCTGAGGCCTGGGAATTTGCACATCTAATAAGTTCTCAGATGATGCTGGTGCATAGACCATACTTTGAGAACATTGTTCCTCACCGCCCCAATTTACATGTTGAGAATGGCACAGAGTGCCCTTGTGAATAGAATGAAGACCTTTTGAAATCACCATATTGATCCTGATTCCATCAAATTCTCAGCTATGTGTGTGTATTATAAAGCTGGAATAGCTGGTTTTTACCTTTTGTTTTATCAAAAAAAGTACTTCACCAATACAGTAGATTCTATTGCTTTTTCTAATATCTGGTCATTGTTACTTTTATATTTAAGCCAAATTTTCTTCAGGGTCTATAGTTTGATGATCTGAACTAAATTTTTTTTTAAAAATCTATATTCAAGATCTTTACTTTTGTTCAAACCCAGTCTTTTCTTTCTTTATGATTATCCTTATTTCTACATTTTTATTTATTCTATAAGCCATTTAAAGCCATGTGGTTAAGGAAAATTAAAAACTATAGGATACATTGAGAGCTATTTTGAATGGACAAATATGAAAATTAAATATCCTTGACTCATTTCTAGTCTAGACTTGACAGAATTAAAATTTAGGAATACAATGTACATACATTGATCTCAAGAGAAAGGTCATAGCCTTAAAACTCTCTCACAAGCAGGAAACAGCTATTACACCTACCATGCAAGAGACTTATCAAAGAAATTTTCTGCTGTTTCTGTCGTTGAATTTTTTAAACATAGTATCAAAATTAGAAAATATTCAACCTGATGTTGTCAGTATTTCAGACCACAAGGGTATCATTTAAGAAAATGGTTCCTTACTGTCCTGAAAGAGTTACTGTTCTTCCCTAAGGGCCTAATTTACAAAGCAGCAAACTCCCTGGCAGAATTTGGCTGAAATTCTCATTGTCTCAGTAGAACCCTTTCAACTGATTTATGTGCATTGCAAATTTGCAATTAACTCTTGGAAAGTTATTTACTTGTTACTTTCTCTAAAAGCTGAGGGTAAGTGGTGTTCCTAGTTTAAGGTTAGAGGAGCTAAGATGCATCAAATGCAGCTTATCATAAAGATGATGCTGATAATAAAGTGCTCGATATTGAATTATCTGGTTCTGCCGTGGGAGAGTTTCATATTGCCCTTTTATTTTGTTTGAAATTGGACTTGTTAGAAAATATGTCAATGTCTAACCCTGCATTTGTCTTCTGGAACGTGACAGTTTAATTCTATTCCAAATGTTGGCCTGGAGATGGAGTAAGTCTAGTGCAAACTGGATGAAACTGCCACTTTTGTAGGTCAGAACCGGTCACTTGTCAGCAGTTACACATCAACCTGTATGTTGCATGCACGATTGTCACATTAAGATTCTGATGCAGTGATTCTGAATTTTTTAAATCATAGTAAATAAAAAAGATAAATAAATAAATGACTGTTTTGATATTTCTCCTTGCATTGATAGTTTCCCTGAAAACTAGATAAGCAGGGAGCCAGCAGTCCAGGTTAGCCCTTGAACTACACAAGGTTTAATTTATTTGCCCAACCACAACACTAGGCTATCTTTCAGCTGTGCGGTATTAAAGTTTATTTAGGAGTTGATAAATAGCTTAGTGCAATGCTTACTTTTTTCCAATAGCTGCATCCTCATAAACCTATTATTCTACCCTACACCAGTTAATGCAGACTGAAGATTTTTATCCAGTATGAGTGCTGAAACTACAGTGGAAGACTGTGTGCTCAGCAAAAACCTCACCCATGATGAATAAACAGCTCTTCCGGGGGCTTTGCTGCCGCTGGCTCGGCAGGAGTTGTTTATTGCCTGGTTTGCACATCCCATGATAAAGTTGCTGCTGAAATAAATTGCAGTTTTGCATAATTATTGACAATCACATCTTAACAAGCAGTGGGTATCATATTCAAGTGTTCAATTTTTTAAAATCCATTTTTAGCTTATGTTTAATCCCAGAAAGTGTTTATGTAGTAGTATAAGGCAAATACGGCATTTAAATAGAGTACTAATTTTCTCATTGCAGACCAAATTTACCTGAATCTTTTTAGATGGGACTGTTACTGCCTAAGGCAATTTTCCCTTCCAAGCTATTATTATGTAGATGTTTGCTGAGGGCATATATGTGTGTATTCATGATACATGCAGTATATATATTATCAGAAAATATGAATAACTTGTTTAGATTTGTGTCACTGAGGTATTTGTTTTATCCTTTTAAAAGACTGGAGGAATGGGGAAGTGGGAAGTGGGCAGAAGGAACTAACATTTTTGAATAACTATGTTGTACAACTGTATAATATGTGAAGCACTCAACTTTGCATTTGTTATTATACCTTAATTCTCATCACAACAATAGATACTGCAGATGAGAAACTGAGAAATCAGGGAGGTTAGTAACGTGCTCTATCATACAACTGGTAAGGGACATTGAGCACTGAACCCGTATCTGTCTTATTTTTAAAGCTCTACTTTTTCCATTACCCATAACACATACACATGTTTCTTTTGGGCAATATTCTTGTTGTATGCTCATCAGGTAATGAAATATGAAGCTAACACAATAGTTATAACAAACCAATGTCAAGCAAAATGATATTTTGCACAATGGTTTTGATGCAATGTTATTTTTCTGTTGTTAGTCTTTTTCATTTGCCCTCCGATCCCTTCTTTTTGTCTTTTTCTTTATCTTCCCCTTTTGACTCTAGGTTTGTAGTTACTGAACTTTTCTTCTTGCCTATCTAATCTTTCTTTCCTGCCTCAGGGTAACACTTAAAGACAAGCATGAAATAGGGATTTCAGGGTATTACCTCTAAAGGTTAGTCTGAACTTTTGCAGTGTATTAAAATAAGCCTTCAAAATTGGCCAACAAACGCTACATGGTTTTAAAGTGTGTGTGTGTATATATATATATACTTTTTTGGATGTCCATCTATTAACTTTTAAACATTCAGTTTAATACATATGTATACATTCATTTTTTAAACAGATTTTCTTGCATGTCGTTCCCTAATTCAGATGTTTTAGACAGAAATAAAACAGACTACATGATATTATAGTTGCCGTTACTTAAAGAAAGATCTTTAGCAACAACTCACCCCTTTGTTGGTGTATTACGGTTTAGTCCCTCCATCTTTGTTCTTTTTATGGAGTTTATTAGGTACACCATTCTATATTTGAGAATTGCATCTAAATATTTGTTCTTTTGCAGGGTGAGTGAGCGAGAGGCTGCTCTGGAAGAAACTCATAGATTACTGCAACAGTTCCCCCTGGACCTGGAGAAGTTTCTTGCCTGGCTTACAGAAGCTGAAACAACTGCCAACGTCCTACAGGATGCTACTCATAAGGAAAGGCTCGTAGAAGACTCCAAGGGAGTAAGAGAGCTGATGAAACAATGGCAAGTAAGTTCAGCATTTTCACTTTAGCATTCTTATGGATCCAAATGAACAATTCTCAGTACTGGTACTTGTAATTGACAAGCTGGGGACAAAATAAAATAGTCATTTTAAACAACCTGATATTCTTCAGCATTTGAGCAAGGAGAGAGGTTGTGGGAAAAGGAAAAGTTATTTATAATTTCATTTAACACCCCTATCTTCTAAAAAGTGCATGATTTGGCCAGAAAATAACTAGCATATAAAACCAGAGCTTTGGTCAAGGAGAAACTTTGCTCAGACAGAAAAATAAGTTAGGGATTGGTTTATTAAACTGAAAAAGTTGACATTTTTGAGTGTTTTATTTAATATTTTACAGGGAAAGCATCTGTATGAATTGTCTGTTTTATTTAGCGTTGCTAACTGAATCAGTTTCCCTTCATTACTTTCAAATATGTTTTGAAATGTTAATCTGGCATTTTGTAGCTTTCTTCTTAACATGATTGCGAAAATAAAAATGAGATGGCTAAATTTGTCATAGTTAATGATCATACAATTTTCAGACAATTGTTTTCTCTAGAAACAAAAATTATTGCTATAAAGTTCCATATGCATAAACAGTGAAAACAGAGTTTAGGGTAGTTTTGTTTAAATGGAGCCTTGTGAGAATTATATTCTGTAGTTCAAGGAGGCTCCTAAAATTTATTCTAATATCTGAGATAATTTTCCTGAACTATGATAAGTTCTGTTATGTACAGTTGGTTTTTCTGACTTGATATAAGAACTTTACTAGTATCTCAAATACAATTTGTAGTGTTAGAATTATAGGATCAATTCTTTAGACTAACTTTTTTTCATAGTTTTAAGCTATTATGAAAAAAGTAATAGTATATCCCAGGTTCAAAAATAATTCCAGAATCAGATTATAATAAGGAAAGATTTTTTTTCTCCTCTCCTCCTCCTCTTTTTCTGTTTTGATATGATATTTGAGCTACCTTGCTGCTCTGGTACGTAGAGTAGGTGATGGTGACAATTTATAGCTTCTAAATTTATTATTTTTGTGTCTTCCTTATCTGGTCCCTCTATCTCCTACACAATGCATATTGAATTAGTTTGATCATTTGGAGGTGATTTGTTTAGAACAATACCCGACTTTTTCTCTACAGATAACTTCCATGATTTGTGATAGATGGCAATGCAAACATAGATGGTTTTGCTCATTCTTAGATGATGGTTAGACAATGTACTACTGTAACTTATTTGGTTTATTCTCAAATAAAATTTTATCTCACTCCGTAAATGCCCATAAAGACACCCTGGAATTTTGATAAACCTATGATTTCACATTTTTCTCATCAGCTATTGTAGATAAATAATAAACTTTGATTGACTAGGGTTTTTTTAGCAGATTACTTTAGAATATAAAGAATAATCCAATAACTAAAAAATAATTTGATGTCAGCGATTTAATGAAATATCCTTTAAAATAGTGAATAAATCTGGTTGAGAGCAAAGAAACATCAATTATTTTTCATACTTGTATATATGTCTGCAGTACTATATAATGAAAATTCATCTATAAACTTCTATTCCTGAGAAACGGAAAGATTATGAGTCATTAAAGGGAAAATTTACCATGTGTCCTAACTATATTTACTATAGAAGAATGGAGAATAAACTACATTTGGTGTTTAGATTTCTGATCTCTCTTTCAAGAAATTATGCTGAAAAAATGGTCTTAGCTTATGCCATATTACTAAAAAGAAGTATTTATTCTTCTTCTTAATCAAAGCAAAGTTTATGTGTTGTTTCCATAAAATCCAAAATTGATCAGGCTATTCTCCTCCATCTTTAAGCTATCACACACGTTACACATAACTTTTACTGTACTTAAGACAGAAACAGAGAGCTTGAGATTATCGCAGGGACTTTTTACTGCCTCAGTCTACTTTGCTAAACTTTATTTATTCCTAAAAGTAATATAAAACCCCCTTGGAACTGTTGAAAACTTTGGCATATTATCTTCTCTTTAACTATGGTAGAATTACCTAAAATTCCAAAATTATTTTAAAACAGAAACAGTTTCCTCCTTCCCTCTCAGTAAATATTGTGTTTTCTGTAAATTTTGTGGTTTAAACTACATTTTATGGATAGAGACAACATTTATAGCCAACTCTGATTTTTAGTTAAGTGGTTGGATAATGATCTTTTGATGAAAGATTTGGAGATGTCATGGTAAAAAATGTAAACTACTGAAACTATTGATTGTTAATGGCACATTTCTAATTATTGAATTGAGTCAAGAAACCGGGGCTTAAAAGCAACAAATGGAAATGCCAAGCTTGAAAGTAAATCAAACAACATACCTTAAGAGATTACATGCAATTTCAGTATTTCCGCTAAATAGAAGTGATTGCTTTTTTCTCGATGAATTTTTTTTTTTGAACAAAAGGAATTTTCCATAATATATATGAAGGAAAAAAGTGTAATAACATGCCTTTTCATTTCAGTTGAAGCTGGTAGCATTGCATTCATTGATTTTGTGCTATATAACAAGCATAGTTCTCATATATTTTTTTTTAAAAGTAGACTCCAAATGCCTAGCCAAAGCAACAGCTCTCTCAACAGATTTTGCTACATCTGTCTACTCCAAAAGTAGTGATGCTTTGCTTTATACAAATGCTACTGAATGGAGAGGTTGAAAACCTTCACAAAATGTGTTTTTCTCTAAGACTGACATGTCAATTACTTGTTCTATATATGCAGACTCCAGCTCTTGCTAGACTAACTCTTACTTTTGTTTATCTATTACTTCATAGGATATTTAATTTTTTCAGCTATAATCACAATTCATGGGTTCTATAAGCATACATGTAATATAAAGCATATACTAGTACTTCCTGAATGGAATTAACCTGATTAATTCTGCTCTGAAAGACATTGGAATTTCCTCCTGTATTATTAAAAAGCATATTATTTGCTTTTCTTATTAAAATCAAGAGCATTACAGTGTCCTTATACTTCAGAATAAGGATAGTCTTATAAATATTGTCATTTCTGATAGTCTAACTGGAATAAGCTAATGTAATTTATAGAATACCATCTAGAGCACTGAGGGGTTAAATTTTGGTGATTTAAAATTACAGATTTATCTGTTAAATGAAGAACTATATTCATAATTGAATTCAATTATTTCTCTGTCCAAAATATTTTCTGCTTTGGGCCTAAGAGAGTTGACGAAGCTGTTCATGGTTCAAAGTTCTAACATAAAACCCTGGGTAACTTACTGAAAATGAAAAGACTCTGCATTTTTGCACATATTTCACAAGACTTTCACAAATATTAAATGGTTCTCTAAGCACCCCTGAGAGATCACTGTAATATCAGCTTGTAAAAACATGTGTGGGTATAGGTATGTGGTGAGGAGAGATGGTCATAAAGGTAGTGTAATTAATATTTTTTTCTCAGCAAGATAAACTAAGGAGCAATTAATATTGAGATTTCTTCATCTGTGAACTGGGTCATGTCTCAGGCCATATCTTTCAAATCACTCTCTTCTCTAATCTCATATGTTTTGCCCATGTCTCCTTTCAACCTTCCCATTATAAAAATTCTCTTCTGTTCAATAAAATATTTACAGAGAGACTAGTTTGATATGCTTTGAATTGTACATCTGAGTACACCTATAAATTAAAATATCTTTGATTTTTAATACATTGTTAAAATTTGGGGCATAGCTTCTTCAATGTTTCTCATCAAAATCTTGGCCCACTGATTAATTCCAAAGGAAGAAGAAAGAATGCAGTCTTCGTATCACAATTAGTATCTTGAATAAATTGGAGTATAATATTTCTCAAGTCATCTGAGAATAGAGAGGTAATTTAAGGATCCCTGATTCTAAGAAAAGGAAACTTTCAGTTTCTTTAATTTGAATTGATTTTTATATGTATTTTTGATCTTTCTATTTTGATTGTTGTCTTAAGAGTGTGAAAATGAGTCTTGACATTTTTCTTTTGCCTAGTGATGATTGCCTACCTCTCTGGATTTGTACAAATTTTCTGGAGACTTTATTAAATCAATAAACCTTTACTAAATACCTGTGATGTGTTATGGTGTTAGGTCTAGTGATGCAGACATGTTCAGAGAAGTGGTTTTCTTTCTTTACTTTTTTTCTGGGGGAAGGATGCTTACACAACAAATTTATTTCCCTTGGTTCTTAAGGTTGGAAGTATAGGATCAGGGGACCAGCATGATTGGATTTTAATGAGGGTGCTCTTTCTGACTTGCAGATGGCTGGCTTCTTCCTATAACCTTGCATGACAGAGAGGGAGAGAGAGAGAGCGAGCTCATGCGCAAGTGCTCTGGTCATTCTTCCTCTTTCTATAAGGGAATGAATCACATCATAAGAGCCCCAAGAGAGGTGATTTTCAAACACAATTCAGACAAAGTATTGGGCTACATAATCAATTTAATAAGTACCAATCCACATTTTAAAAAATAAAATAATGCAAATAGTAGGATAAATAGAAAAAAATAGACTCTATTACTTTGTATAGCTTTGATTTTTTTTAAAGATGTGGGGTACAATTCAAGGTTAAGTATACAAATGTTCATTATGCAGTTACCCTTGATGATGAGGTGTGCCTTCCTCCCCCAGCAGAATCCCACTACTGCCATTCCTGCCCCCCACCCCAGCAATTTCCCACTACCGGCAATCCTTTTCTTATAGTATTATGATAATTGTTCAAGGTCCACTTCTGGATGAGAATATGTGATACTCAGTTCCTTGTTTTTGTGATAGATCACTCAGTACTATAGACTCTAAGTCCACCCAAGTTGCTGTGAGGTTCATAATTTTGTCCTTCTTTGTGGCTGTGTAATATTCCATCATGTATATGTACCACATTTTTTTATCCAGTCTTCTTTCGATGGGCAGCACGGTTGGTTCCATGTTTTTGCTATTGTGAACAATGCTGTGATAAACATAGTGTGCTGGTGTCTTTTTCATAGAGTGACTTGAGTTCCTC